GGTGTGGGTGGGGGTACCTGATAGGACACCGGAAAAAGGGGGAGGGAAAGAAGCACCTGAAGGTGTTGAACTAAATTCAAGCTCGGGAGTTGTAAAAAGTGAGAGGGGAAGCGGGGGTGGAAACTTTAATAGGCCTTAGGTGTATGTCTTTAAATTTAATGGGTTTATGTACGGTATGAAGAAATTGGTTTCGTAATTTCTAAATAAACTAGAGTGGATTTTGTGTTCCTGCAGGACACAATTTCAAAAGGGTGGGGGTTTTGGGAGGTGGCAGTTTTTTGGTATTACCCTCCATCCCCCGTCTAAAAGGTGGTGGGGAATTTTAATAAGGGAACGAGCCCGTTTTTTTTGCAAGAAGCGAGGGAAGGGGGAGGAGGGTGTTGGTGTGGATGGGGGTGGAGGGGAAAGCGTGTGTTTTTTGTGAGTGTTATCCCGGCAAAAAAATAACATAAAGTAAAGAATGATTTTGTGTGTGGGATCTTGTGTTTTTCTAAGTGCACTCCCAAGGGGGCGATAGTTGGGGGGGACGGAATGGGTTTAATCAGGGTGGCTATGTGGACCCAAGGGGAGGGGATAAATTTTTTGGGGGCTTTTGGGGGATTTATTTAAGGGATGTTATTACGTGATGCCTTTGGGGAGGGGTGGGGAGACTGAATAAATTTTTGTTGGAGTGGTTAGCTGCAGACTAGAAAAGAGTGTCCCTTTTCCCGGGGAGTAAAACGTGAAATCTTTCAGTACTGTTGAGACTAAAATGTCAACAAGGCGTGTGGTGGAGGTTGGGGGGGGACCCCTCGGACAATATAAAGTTAGGAAATTGAATATAAGTGTTTTAGGAATAAAGGGGTTGGGGGGGTTTTCAGTCCTATGGAGGGAGCTTAGTTGGAAGAACAGGGATGGATACATTGTGACGGGTGGGATAGGTCGCAAAGGAAAGGTTAGAAATTTTTTATGTGAGAAAGGAAAACGTATTAATAATTTAAAATATGGACGGGCTAACTATTTAAGGATGGGTTAAGGGGTTGCTAGGGGAGGGGGGTTTGGGGGAAAATTTTCCTATGGATGAAAAACTGAAATAAAGGGGATTGAGGGTGTTGCAAAATAAAGGTTCAAGTTTAAAGGATGCAGGCAGGGGGGAGGAAGTGCTTTGGGGCGACAAGCCGTCAGCGTGTGTTTTGGGGCAAAAAAAGCAAAGGCAGCGCGAGGGCTATACCATTTTTTAGAGGAAACGGAGAGGTTGGGAATTAAGAGTAGGGCAGAGATACAACCACAAAGGGGGATGTGTGCGTATCGGGGGCTTGGTACGAGAATACTGGAACAGTGGGGGTGGGTGACGGGGTTTGGGACAAGGTTGACGAGGGACGTTAAAATTTAGGAAAAGTGATCGAAAGGTTTTTAGGGGGAAGATTACGGCAGAGGAAAAGAGAATGCTTTAAAGGGGAAAGGAAGGGGAAAGTCCCGTATTGAGGTCTCCCGTAGAATTTATTTACAACTTTGGGCGTTGAAAAAGGAATTTAATTAGTTATTTAATAGTATAAAGGGAAAAGGGGAAATTTGGGGGGAGAAGCGGAAACAGCATTAGTTGCTGGTCCCGAAGGTAAAGGGGAGCCCCCCCTTTGGGGAGTACCGAGCCATATCACTGATTTTGCAGACATAAGGTGTTTTCAAAAATTTTGGGGAAATAGGTTTCAAATGTGTAGTGGAGAGGGTGGTGTCAAAATCTCATAGGGGTTCCGGGAAGGGTCGAGTTTGAAGGACAGGGAACTGAAATTTTTTGTGGAAGCTAAGGGGGGGGTGGAGGGGCCTTTTTGGCTCTAGACGGGCGGGGAGCATTGTAGAGGGGAAAGGGAGTTTTGCAGGTTTATTTTGGGGAGGGGGTTTTGGGGGGAAAAAGTCGAAGGGGAAATACGTTGTACAAAGGGGCGAAAATGGGATACAATTATGGGTGTAGGGGGGGGGAAATTGCAAGGGGAAGAGGCCTTAACAGGGATGCCCCCATGTCCCAAATTTTGTTTGCGTGTTTCCGGACCCCTTTTATAAAATGGTTGACCGTACTTATGTACGCCATGTGCGGGAAGTGTGGGGGGGGGGAGGGCCTGGGGGGGGTTTTAAATTGATATTTACGACCCCACTGTTCTCTGTGCAGGGGTGTCAATGATGTGTTTGGGCGAGGTGGGGCAATTATTTGGAAGTGCCCGGGATGCAGAAATAGTGCGAATCAAAGGGGCATGGGGTTGGGTTCTTGGGTGGGGGGTGTGGGGGGGAGAGTAAAGTTTTTTTAAAAAATGGGCGGGGTCTTTAAAGATTTTTGTATTTTTTATAGGGTGACATGGTTCGGCGCGGGGGGAAAATTTGGATAGGTTATTTGGGAAAAGGGTTGTGGGGCGTCTAGTTTCTGAGACCCCACACCAACTCTGATACAGCGGTGATAGTCGTGAACATTTTATTGTAAGAAGGTTGGGGATGTTCAGCTTGTTCCCCCTTACAGGGACAGCGATTTGGGGGGTAAAAAACGGGTGTACAAATTTTTTTTGGGGTTCACGTTTTTGATTGTTTTCGGAGGGGGTTGTAATTTACCTGTAAATCAGGGTGGGGTTGGGGGTTTTTGGATTTGAACGGAGGGCTAAAAGTGTGTTCATTAAAAGGGGAATGTTGCGTGAGGGGTAACGCGGGGGGGGTTTGGGAAGGAACACGACGGGTGGGGACTGGTATGAGGAATGGGGTTGAGGGGAAAGTGAAATAGTTTTTTGGGCTGTTATTTGGTTAGGGAACTGAGAAAGGTTTTAAAGGGTTTTTTTGGGAGGTTACTTGTAGGTAGGGGGTTTTCCCGTTGAGGGGTTTTTTCCCATGTTGCGTGGGAAAAGTATTTGGTTTAGTTTAGTAAATTAAAATTTAAAAACCCCGGGCCGCGTGAGGTGATGTTTCGTTTTCTGCATGGGATCCTTCCGCTGGGGAGATATTACGAAAAAGAAGTTGAAGGGTGGGGGGTGTGGGACTGGGAGGGGGTGAGACAGCGTTCCGAGTTTACTTTTTTTAAGGGCTAGAGGGGTTAGGTGCTGGGTTAAGTAGTTGGTAAGAGGGCGGGGGGCCGTGGGTACGGTTTTGCGTCTCAAGTCTAGATAGGGGGTTAGACGAGGGGGTCATAAGAGCTTTGATTAATCATGGTAATTATTTAAAATTGTCGTGGGGGATTAGGGGGGGGAGGGGAAGGAGGGAAAAAGAAAGGTTCTTGGGTAACGTTTTATAGTACGATTGTCTAACAAGAGTTTTTATGGGGGGAGGGGGGACACTTTCCAGAGGGTAAGAATGCTAACGTTTGGGATTCTCGTAAATCTGTGATTGGGTATGATGAAAGAAGGGGTTTCATAGGTTGGAGGGATCAGGGGGCAACAGCGGGGGGTCCCTCCCTGGGGGGGGGGGGCGTGAAGTGTTGTAATGTGGTTTGGAAAGGTTTCCTGGTTTTCATTGGGACTTTTTGGCATCCAAGTTGGAGTAAGCTCAAAAGGGCTCGTTGGTAGATATAACCTTTTTTAGAATGTAGGGAAATAAATAGATTTTTTTTGTATAATTTTTGATTTACAGTCTTGTATAACATGATTCTTGAAAATAATTATTTGCACATGCATTGTTTTAGTTTGTATTAGTTACCTTGGGTGGGTTTTTTTTCACGATGAAGATACTTATACCTTTTTTTCTTGTGCTACAGTGCATATATTTTAATTTATTTTGTGAAAATTTTTGTTACTGTGGGTGTGTGTGTGGATGTGGGGTGGGGTTGTGGGGTGTTGTTATAATTATAAAAAATTTATCTCTTTCTTTTTGAATTTACCTTTCATGGGGGCAACGTTATGTAAAACTTTAATACGCATGATTGATTTTTTTTTAAATTTTAAATTAAAGGCTGTACCCCGAACCGGTTTTTGGGTTCATCAATTCTTGATGTTAAGTTTTTTGCTGTAGGTATAAGACATATCTAGACAGTTTATGAGAGTCCATTTTTTCTGAAAGTTTTTTTTATGGGGATTGAACATATAACTTGTTATTGTGTTCTAACTTATTCTTTTCTGTTTATTTGTATGTTGGGAATGTTCCTGTATTGTTAGGGATAATATTAGAATCAAATCGATTTTATTTTAGGTTTTTGGGTTTTTTTATTTAAATTTAAGGATGGGATTTTAAATGATATAACTTCTTTGTATATTTTAGTTCAATTAATTGAACCCCTTTTTCAGATTTATTTATATGTACAATTTATATATCAAGGTTTTGTATAAAAGTCAATTCAAAACCCTGTGACATGTAATTTTTTTTTTTAGTTTTGTTTTTGATAAATTTTTGTTGTAAAATCTTGCGAGCATGAAGACAATCCGTTTTTTTATTAATTGATTTGGTCATACTGTTTCTTATTTTTAAAGTTAAACTGTATTGGTTTTAAAAAAAATATAAAAAAAAAATGAGGGCCTATATAGTGGGGTTAAAATTTTTTAAATTTTATCAACCTTGTAATTTTTAATGTTTTAAATAAAATATAAAAAAAATAATATTCGTTATCTTAATCTTTGGTTTTTCCTGTTGTTTATGTTTTTTTTAAATAAAATATAAAAAAAAAAAACTGATAGGTGGCTTTAGTGATGTTAGTGGGTTTTATGGCTTTTTTTTTTTTTTCCCCTGTAACGGGTTTCTTTTCCTGGTCCAACAACGGTGCAGTGTGATAATTTTAGTATGTACTTATTATCTCAACAGTGTTTTTACTATATATTAATGTTTAGTCTGTCAAGATATGCCCTCAATAAAATATAAAAAAAACTCTAAAATTTCCCAAAGGGGCTTTGGGGGGACAAACACACTTTTTAAAACTTTTGGTCGCAGTACTGGTTTCCCCCCAATTACAATTCATGGGAAACATTTTCTTACAGATGTCAGCCAATCAGAAGCTCTGTTTCCCCTATAAAATTTGAGGGTAAGGTGGTTTTTTCAATCACTCCTTTTTCGGTATTGAGGATTTCATTGACGGCTCGAAAGGTATCACTTTTTGGTTTTAAAAAAATCTTCGAAGATGAATAATTTTCTATTTAATTTTTTCAAAATTTAATTTATCTAATTCATGTTTAGCTATTACTTTTAATTACAATTAATATTTAAACTGTGGCTTGAATTTTTAAACCCCCGGGGGTTTGGCTGTATATAGAAAAGTTAGACTTCCCGTTTCTGTTAGAAACTGTTAAGATCCTCACTATCTGAGCTATAGAGTAGTGCTGTATCATTAAAAGTAGATACTTCTGAAATTACTTAAACCTCTATTTGTCGTGAGTTTGACGAAGTTCCTGTTCATTATAAACTAATAAAGAATTTAAACACTTCTATGGTCTCGAGACTACATCCTTGTACTAGAGCATTAGCATAAATTCTTAACACTTAAACATATATTAATTCTTTAACTTTTCAGAACTGTCCCATCAAAACCCAACTAGTCTCTGAAACATGAAATGTTCAAATCACGAGCTACACTAGTGCTCCAGGTTCCACTGTTAGCGCAGTAACATGACTGGTATCACTTCACACGGTCTCCCTACACCTCTTGACACTTCTTAAACGAATAAATTTCCTTTACAACTAATTCTTCACTTGCAGAAGAGGGCTCTTTAAATTATAGCACAAATAACGCTAACATGCCACTACTAAATTTATTTCTCGTTAAACGTTCGCTTTAATCTCAATTACCCAAAACTAAACCATGAATTTCGTCTACACTACTCGGAGGGACCTTACTGTTCCTCTTACCTTAGGTCAACCACGTACCTACAGACTAAACCGCGTGTATAACGACTTGCCCAACACTTCAATCCATACCGGAAACTGAACAACCATTGTATTAAAGAAACATTGTCAACCAATTGGCAATATCACTATGGGCTACTTGACCCATAGCATTCTACAACGCACGTGAGGGCGCAGAAATGCATGTATAGAATGTATGGAAGCACAATTCGGGAGACTAAACGGATAAAATCCCGTATCATAAACCCCTCACCAGCGTCAAGAACCTCCATTAAGGGGACAAAACAAACATTGAACTCGCTGCTTCTTTCCAGAGATTTGCCCTACCGAAAAGGTTTATTTTCTAAAATTAAAACCCTAGGGAGATTCTTTACCTCTTCATAAACTGAAATTAAAATAGTGCTAAGGTTCCTAAAGCCCGAGTACCTTAAATCCCACCCCCCCACATACACTATATAATCCTACAGGTTAGCATTCCCCATGTATATAACCTTAAAGTTGAATAGCTTAAATTTCCAATAATTTAATAGAATGAATTTTATGGAACTTGTATAAACGAAGTTTACTTTTAATTCTTTGTACACGGGAAAACATGACAGAATTTTTTTTATTTTTTCCTTCCTACTTAGGCTTTGATGCTAAAATAATCTAGAGTAAGTTTCAGACTACCTTTTCTTCTGGTTTAACTTCATTACACGAATACGGAATATAACATCCTACCAGTTTAATCAACGCTAGACTTGAACCTTCATACTGCTGTGCGTATGTTGTGTGCTAACTAGTTACACTTCCAGTCCTAGAGGACAGATCACTGATCTTATTCAATTTTAATCTTTAATAGTTAGTGATTAGTTTTAAAACTAGCAAAATAACGTGTACCGTAACTTCTCAGATAAGCAAAATGATTTGTGCGCTCCTGGCCGCCGTCATCACTACCGTTGCTTGTGAGCACTTCATTAGGAATGATGGTATGCCAATCATCTACGGTGGTAACAATGATACAAACATGGCTCGCTCTCCCGGCCTTCTAGTGGTCTCTCCCGCTCCTCCACAAACTCAGCCTCTAATACCTACAGTTTCGGCAAACTCTGCTATACAGTTCGTATCCCCTAGAGATCAGCAAACAAACCAGCAACCTAGGTTTGTTGGCCGTATTACACATCGGGTAACTAACCAGCTGCCCCATCATGCAGCCCCTCTGGAACCTGAAACAAATCATTTTCCTCGGTTTGGAGAGACTCAAGGTCTAAGTAACCAACAGTTCACAGCACCTCGGGAACAGATTACCAACTCGATACAGTTTCCGGCACCACTGGTTAACTCTCAACCTTCTAATACACAACAAATAACCACCCACCATCCTGGACTGAGCTTCATACCAAGACCACAAGTCTTCCACGACTTGCGTCAGCCTACATATGTCTGCGATCCCCTCGCCAAGCCGTTGGTAAGGCTTATTAGTTCTGTGAACTATCCTTTAATAATTTTTTTTTCTTTTCTTTTAACTTGCTCTTGGTAAATTCCAGGTTGACGAGGTTTACGATGGAAAGCCTTACCACTTCTCATGGTGTCATGATGGCGGCCGATCCTACACCTGGTTAACTGCTGTTTATTACTGTGCAGGCCTTGGTAATGGCTTTCAACCTGTCAGTTTAGAAAGTCGGCGAGAACAAGATTTTATTTCTACCATTGTTATTCAACGTAAGTTTAATCCTTTTGTTCTTAATTCTGGGAAGTGGACTATTCAATAAACATCTTTTTCTTTATCTTGAATTTCATTTCCAATGTCCTTTCCTAAACTAGGGACTACGCTTTATTTTTCATTAATATAAATCTAAAATTACATTTTCAGATTACATCTCTGACGTATGGACGAGCGGTAACACCATAAGCTCTTCTTCTTGGACTTGGTTATCTGGTGCGTCTTCAGCTTACACAAACTGGTCTCGTACTGGCAGGTAAAACTTCCTCTATGAAGGTGGGGGATGGGGTACATTTAAATTTTTTTTCCTCCTCCTCCTCACACCTAACAATTTTGTCCATAGGCGAGGCCTCCCTCAACCCGATAACGACGAAGGTAACGAGCAGTGCCTGGCTTTACTTAATAACCACTACAACGACGGTGTTACATGGCACGACTCAAACTGCAACAATCAAAGACACGTTATATGCGAGGCAACACAATTCTATGGTGTATAAAATAACCTTTTACTTCGGCTTGCTGTCACATTTTTTTGCTTTATCAAGACTGAAATAAAGCTTGATTGTTTAATCACGGGTTTCATTATTACCCTCTAAAGCATATAACTTAACTTTCAAGACTTCTCAATGGCCAAGAACCCTTCCATTGTCTTAATTCCATGAAGTTCTTTGACTACCAAACACTTAAAATTATTAAACTTTTAACTTTATTACCACACATTGCCCTCCCGAACAGTTTCCCCTGTTGACTTAAACCTAGCTCTTTGCCTAAATGTTTATTTTTTTTTTAACTTTACGTTTTACTTTATCTTTAAATCGCTATCTTAACTTTCTAACACTGATTACTTCACTACGAAGTCCTGGCTAGGGATTATCGTGACTATCCTGCATACTTGGTTTGTCCCTTGCCTTGTTTACCACATTACCCAAGAGGTAGTTCGAAATTTTTTTTAGCCCAGGGTCACTTCGAAACTAAAATTGTCATGGTAACAAATCGTACAGTCATCTTAGCATTCTAAAACAGATCCTAATAAGCCCCCTAACCTACTATTCTCTGCCCCATTCCCTCCATCTTCCTATTTTTGGCCTTGGAGGATGTCAAATTCGAGTGCGGGGGGGTTAAAGTATATAATTATCCCATTCTGCAGAGGGGTTTAAGTGGTATTACATAATTTGGTGAAATCCTGATATTCCAGAAGGGGGAGGGGGGAGAAGGGTCCGAGGGAGTCCTTCAGGTGACCGATGTAGCTCTGGAGGCAACCTGGCTGTTTCGGAAGGTGGTAGACATGGAAGCTTTAACAAAGCTAACTGGGTGTTTTGGTTTTTTTTTTTTTTTTTTTTTTTTTTTTCTCTCCAGAGGCTGGCTTGGTGGATGTAAGGTTATCAAAGATTGCCAGTTTGCTAGCATGATGGCTCGAGTATGACAGTTTATATTGCATCTGCATTCAGGGCCTTCTTGGGTGTGTATGGGATACAAAGTACACTTCGTTCATGTATGCTATCCCTAAAATTCTTCCTCCTTCCCCTATTTTTAAGTAAAAAAAAAATGACCTGCACTCTGCCAGACCATTAGTGCAGCACCCTAGGCATGCCTTTTAACTTTTTTTTTTTTTTTTTTTTTTCTCCCCCTCTCATTTTTGACCCTCGGTTATCACATTGATACACTTCTGACTTCCACATGTTTGACTACGATCCTGGTTTATCCCCAAATTTTTTCTTGTAGACTGGCAGGCCCACTTGTAACATTTTCCAACAATCCTTTAGTCTGACTTTCCTCTAGTGCCTCTGAACCTTAGGAAATTTCCTCCCCCTTTACTCCAGACGTCGAAGAAAATCTTTGAAAACTTCATTAAATTTAAAACTTCTTTCTGACCACAGCATTATCGAGACACTATTTGCAGTGTTGGGCAAAACGTCTTTAACTTGATGGCACATGAGTTTTCGGTTCAAAATACCGGAGGCGCATTTAAATAATTAAGATTAGCATTAGTTCCAGATCCACTTGCAAGAGTGCCACTCGTACAAGTTGGCACTTGCATACTCCCTGCCCACGAGCAGAGGCGTTATCCTTCAATACAATAAGGCCGTGAATTGGAGCCTTCCCTCTGTTTACTTAGCAGAACAGTGCTTAAGTGTGGAAGGTGATCCCTACCCTGCAACATGGAATATGCTGGTTCTTCGCCTACACAGCAAAACATGTGCTGCTGACTATAAGTCCATCCTGCAGCCACCCACCCTTTCCTGTTCTCTGCCAAGAGGAGCACCCTGCCTATTTCCCCCCTGGTTTTGTTAGAGGCAAATTAGCTGTCTTCGCGTTTATGCCATGGCACTCTTGTATCCACTCATTCCAGAGTCGCTGGATGGCTCCGTACTTTTGTAGTGCACACGTGTGCCCCTTCTACAGTAGACTGTATCATATATTTTTTTTTTTTTTGATGGCTTGGGGGGGGGGGGGAGGTTCTCGGGTTCCATCTTGGTCTTCTCTCGTTAATTCACCTTTCCACTTGCTATTTTAACTTCTCAGTGCCCCTTCCCTCTTGAAGTATAAACACACTACATAGCTTTAGTCTACATCTTAATTTACTTCAAATTCTTCACCCCATCCTCCTCCCCAACCATACATTCTCGGACCACCTCTTCCTATCTAAGGGGTGGGGAGGCTCCTTCGGGTAAAGTTATTGGTCTAGGGAATTAACCTTCAGTTTTTCAAACTGAACCTAATTACCCCTGCCCCAGTTCACTGTCCTAACCATCAGGTGTTGGGGTACTTGCCTCGGGCATACTAGTTAGTTGGAAAAAGGCATTTTTTGTCTAATCTACTTAGGTGCTTGGTAGTTTAGTTTGATGTGGCATCTGAGTATGTCCCAAACCCTCCCCGGTGTTCTGGGAGAGGCTTAAGGCTCGGGGTATCCCCCCTGGGAGAGGCTTCTGGTGTCCTTTCGGTGATGGGGTGTATCTCTGGAGGCTGCCTGTCGGATTCCAGGTGGTGGCCAGATAGGGTATGCCTTGTCGAGTATCCAACAGCCCTCTTATCCAGCAAGGTGGCTCGGTAGAGGAGGCTGCTATCCTGGATTGCTGCTTCTCCCACTATGCTACACTTTAAAGGTCTCCAGTCTTAGGACTGACCATCTTCAGTCTTGCCCAAGCAACAGATTTTTTAACTTGTTTAATTCTCCCTATACCCAGAGAAGACCAACATTTCACTCCCTTTGCACACTACCATTAAAGTTGCATAAGGCACAGATTTTTCACAAACTTTTCTGAACACAGAACTACAGCTTTGCCTAGGCCTCTGCAGTAATGTACCGACCTACCTTGCCACTTTCTTACCTGGAATACTAGCGTGTCTGTGTTGGTGCCTTGGATTTCTGTGTCCAGGCAGTTCCATTAGTCTTTAACACCACCCTTTGTCTTTGCTGTAAATGACCTACCTTCCGTTCTTCCATCGAATGTTTAGTATCCACTTTGTGGTTGACTTCGCTTTAGCTTACATAGGCATTGACTGTCGCCTGGTAGCGGCCTAGTTTTAAGTTGCATTAGTTTTCCATTCAGCCACTTCTCAATTTAAATTTTCTAGTGCAAAAACCCGTTTTATTAGTCAGCAGACTCCTTCAAGGGGAGCTCCTTGGCGTGGTGAGGCTCTTGGTCTGAGGAATTATACCTGTTGGTCTCCTTCCTCGGACCAAACCTAATTACCCCCAATATCCCCCTCCCTCTCCCATCCTCTTACTTTTCCTCCCCACCCTTCCCTATTACCCTTCCTCTCTTTGGTTTTATTTTTTCACAGGCACGCTAGTTCCTGGGTAGGGGAAAGGGTACAGGGATCCATCCTATTCTGTTGAGGTTCTTGGCAGTGGGGTAGTTTGCTGTGGAATCTGAATTGCCTGGGGGATGCCATAATCCCTCTCCAGTCTCCCGGGGAGTGGCTTTGTGTATCTTTCGGGCGACGGGTGTATCTCTGGAGGCTGCCTTTCGGATTCCGGGGGTGGTGGCCAAAGGAGGTATGCTTTGTGGCGGATATCCGGCCGCCCTTTTGTTCAGAGGTAGCTCGGCAGATGTGAGGTTGCTATCCCAGATTGCTGGTTTACTGGCATTATAGGTAGGGTATGGCACGGGTTCAATGCTGCATCTGCACTACATGCGGTGCTGAGGTCCTCTTGGGAGCAGAAGGATTTCTGGCCCTCATTCATCCCAGTAACTATCCTTCCCCATTCCCCCCCTTTTTTTTTTTTTTATTTTTCTTAAACAAAAATAACCTAACCATGGAAGCCCTAGTCCATGAACCTGCTACCCCTGGGCCCCTTCTTGATATAGCACCCCGTTCTGACCCCATCTCGTCTTTGAACCACTCTTCGGACACTCCTAATGCCTCTGTACCTCTTGCCGGTGCTGTTTTCTCGCCCACTTCAGGTACCGAGGTCTCGACAGACTCCTTCGATTTATCTGACCTCTGCTCTCCTTTGACTATGCTTCCGGCCTCTCCCTCTACAGTGCGGCAATTTTCAAATCGCCGGCCCATTCCACGTTGGACCAACTCTGGTCCCACTCCTAAACACCAACGACAATTACCTGCTGATGATACTTCACCTTCTCGTTCTTGGAAAAGATCGACTCGTCCTGCACTCCATTTCCATGCTGTTTCAGAATGCACA